GCGTCATATCTTTTAGCCTTTTGTTTCTGATCATGGGGCGTTCTTGGCAAAGATACTGGAATGGCTTGCCATTTCCTACTCCAGGTGGATTGCGTTTAGTCGGAACTCTCCACTATGTCCTGTCCATCTTGGGTGTCCCTGCACGGCATAGCCCATAGTTTCTCTGAGTTACTCAAGCCCCTTCGCCACGACAAGGTAGCAATCCATGAAGGAGGGGAAATATGTACCTTGTTTCAAATTTAAATTTTGCTCCCAGATTTATTTTCTTTCTTTATTAAATTTATACCTCTAGATTGAAGTCTACTCTGGGCGGCTAACAATAAAAATGGAATAAAAACAATATAATAAAATAAAAACAACAATAGTAATATAGTTCAAGATGGGGAAAAGAAAAAAAAATCAAGTGATGACAGGAGGGAAAGCCTGCCTAAAGAGCCAGGTCTTAAGTTTGCTCTTAAAAACTGTATGTCCTATTTTAAAGAAGGCGAGGAAGTATGTGTACATTATATAAGCTAGATCTAGCCAAAATTCTTTGAGATCATATTAACTTGCATAGCAGAATGTTAAGCATGGACTTACCTCTCTCAGTGATATTGACAGGCTTTAAAAGTGATTGACACTAGATACCTCTCAGTACCAGGGGAAGGGCACTATTGCACTTGTGTCCTGCAGTTGAGCTTTCCAAAAGAACCTGGCCGACCACTATGAGAAGAAAATACTGGACAAGGTGAAATTGTGGCCCCATCAAGCTCAGTTCTGCTTATAGTCTTATAAACATTTGCTACATTGTTGTTTTGCAGATTCAAGTCCATTAGGGCTCCAACCCATCGATTTTATACCCGAGGCTCCTCAAAGGTGGACCGAGGGGGGAAATGGAGAGGAAATCCCTGTGGTCATCATGGCATCTGATGACAGGCTAGGTGGTGTAATAGCAGCCATGAACAGTATTCAGCAGAACACTAAATCCAATGTAGCCTTTCATATTGTTACTCTGAATGACACAGTGGACCACTTGAGGTAATGTTGCCCATCATGTATATACATTAGTGTATTTATTCCTCTGTCTCCTTAAATACTAAATTTAAAAAAAACATAAAAACATCAGCATACAATAACAAATAGTGCAGGAATAAATAAATAATAAATAGCAAAGCAAAGAAATCAGTAGTTGATAGGAGGGAAGGCCTGGATGTACATCCATGTTTTCAGTTGGCATTTGAAAGTACCCAGCACTGGGGCCTCGCGAATTTCCGGAGGAAGGTTGTTCCAAAGGCGAGGAGCCACCGCCGAGAAGGCCCGGCTTCGTGTCTTTTCCCTCTGGGCCTCCCTCGGCGTCAGGCTCCTCAGCCTCACCTCTTGACTCATGCGGGTGATCCGAGTAGATCTTGGTGGGAGCAGGCAATATAATGCAAATTTCTCTGTCTCTCTAAATACTGCACATCTCAAAGTTCAGTGTTAGTTCCATCCCAACACCCACAGGAAGAAAAGTACCCCTTTTTTGTTATTGTTTTTTCAATTGCTTCTATTGCTATCTTCCTTATACAGGACATGGCTTAGTAAAACCCAATTGAAAAACGTGAAATATCGGATTCTGGATTTTGATCCTCGTGTACTGGATGGAAAAGTGAAGGTAGATTCAGAAGTGCCAGACGCCATAAAACCTGTAAGTACAACTGCTAATTAATTTTACAAAAACTAATAAAGAGAAAATGTGCCTTCAGATTTCTGCTCATTCTGAATGAGTATGCACATAGATATTATGGCCTTAAAAATTGGACTTTGAAATTATTCCTGTGATTAGAAGTCTTGATCATGTGGTGTTGATCTAATAAAGTTAGGATGCTCCAGTAATTATTTAGAAATGTTTCAGCAACAACTTTGTTTCATTAAATTGTTTTTTATACACACACACA